TGGGGACCCAGTTGGTTAGTCTAGGTATGCTTAGATTATTGGGAGTCTGATGCACTTGATGTACTTCTCGAGACCTGATATAACTTATGTTGTATGTAGGCTGAGTCGATATACTCATAATCCCAACCGTGAACATTGGTCTGAAATAGAGAGACTAATGAAATATTTGAGAGGAATCAGTAATTATGATATCGTGATGAAATCACTGAGAGAAACCGAATTATAGTATCTAATGATATAGTTGAGAAGAACCATTAACAATGGTATCCTATGTATATTGTGGATTTTTCACTGATCCTGAGAGGATCAATGGTGTTAAATGAGTCTTTGATTCATGTGAGACAAAATATACTAGTGTCTATGTGTTCACCCTTATGAGGGGTGAAATTGCGATAAAATTAGCCAAGTAAAGTATAGTTGCTAGGTCCACTATGGACTCAGAGTTTTGGATCTTTGAAGCTGGGTATAGTTACTATGTCTACTATAGAGTAAGACTTTATAACTCTGGAGATGGCTACTTTAGAGGCCGAGGGATAAGAAACTTCTTAGTCGATTCCCTTATAAAAGGATGTGATGCCTCCGATGTCTTTGCAATATGATTGTCAAAAAATAATTTATAAATGCAAAGAATACTATATATGATTGTAAAAGTATATTTAAAATTGAGACACAACGTTGTGATACAATAACTCAGAGATGGAATTATTTTCATAGAGTATGTGAAGTCAGAAATGAATTGGGCCGCTTCACTGACTAAATCTGTGTGAAGAAAATTAATTCTTCAAACCTCATATGAGATGGGTCTTAGGCCAAACTTGAAGTCAACAAAGATGGTAACCCAACCTATGTAATTGGAGAACCCATAAAGTACGTTCATATGGGTAATAACAAGTCGATGTTAGGCTCTGACTGCACTAGATTTTATATCGTTGTGTGATAGTGCTTTAACTGCTACTTAATTGGAGGGATGAGTTTTAAACTCTTAATGATTTCATATTCCTTATGGATGATATATTTAAAGCAGTGTAGACTTCATAAATCACCTATATGAGAGTGGAATAAGGCCACTCCTATAGGGTTTTATTGGCCAAACCCTTGGAGCTCCCATGAACTACCAAGCACGCGCACGGCCAAAATAATGCGCATAAAACGCGTTGACAACAAGTTGTGGGTTATGATGTGGTTTGTAGAACTTCTGTCATACAACAAATAATTTGTTGGTTCATAGAAATTTTAATTTCACCAACAATTGTGTGTGTCATGTTTTATTGATCTATGTTTGGTTCATAGTCCGAAAGAAACCAAGCTTATGCATTGCTACCTTATAGATCAAATATTTGTTTTACTAAAAATCTTTTGAAATATGTGGGGGATTGTTGTCGTTCTTAGTAAATTTATTTCAAAAAATGATGTTGATCAATTTAACTCTTGTTAAGTTAATCAAATGTTGAAAGTTGTTTTGTTAAACAAATTCTTCGATTTCTTTTTCTTGAAGGAAGCAAAGTTTTCAGCATTTCTATATGTATATAAAAGGGAATCCCCTTTTTGTTGCATGGTTAAAGGGGGGTTCCCGGTGAAGGATGCTGACATGGTTACTCCGTGTTGGACCGCTTCGTTTTTCCCCATTGGCCGGCCTCTCTATGAGAAACTTTTTCTCCCCGTTGCCCGATTCTCTTTTTCTCTTAACAAAGTTTGGCGGCATAATTTCACTCCACTGAGAAGAATAGAATAAAATTTCCCAGTCTTTTTTCCTCTTCGACTATCAGATTTCCTTTTGGATTTGTCATCAGCTATCCACGTCCAAAAGGTTAGGGCGTTTTTAATTTTTGAAATCACCGGATCTATTTTAGTCGCTGCATGTATACTGCTTTCTGTTTGTGAATTTATGTGGTTTGTTATCCGTCTACCAGTAGAAGAACAGAGGGAACTTAGGATTGGGGTTCTCGGGGAAAGAAATTCAAGGGTTTAGAGTGAGTTCATTTGAATGTTTAATTTCATTTTTTTTTTTGATTGATGCATGTAAGGTAATCCCTTTTTGACTTAATGGCAAGAGCATGCCGCTGGTCATATTTGTTCATAGAAGAATTACGAACATAGCTGTCACATGGACTAAAGAGCTTTCTGTGTTCGTTTTTTAATGGTTAATTAAGAAGTCCGAAAAATTAGCTCTAAAACAAAACAAAAAAAAGGGAAATGGGAAAGCTTCAAAAGGGGAGGAAAACAGAGAACTTAAGGCTGTTAAGGTGGTTTTTAGTTTGGAGAACGCACGTAGCTCAAGGTTTTGACATTCAGTAGGTAACCTACTAATCTCCTCCTATAAATCTGGTTGGAATTTGTTAGATTAAATTGTTTAGAATAGAATTATTAGGAGTAGCTCTTTCTTGCTTCTTAGCTTCATTAATCCAATTAGACATGCTAGATTACTTAGCTTCATTGTTATATTTTGTGTGATTTGTTCTCCATCGACTGGCAGAAGAACAGAAACAACTTTGGCTTGAATAATGCGTCAAATATATTGGAGTTCACTTTGTGCATGTAAGGCGGTTGATTATACGTTTGAAAGAGTCTACGAATTCGTTTTTAATCTTTCGGTCTGCAAAAATTAATCCAAAATGGGTTTCTTTTGGTAAAACTCCGCATTTTGAATTAAAGTATGAATACTGATTATGTTTCACGTCGGCATAATTGAAGTCAGTCCCCTTTGTTATATAAGTTTGTTTCATTGCGTGTCATGTAGGAATTGGGGAAGAACAACGGCAATTTAGGTTTGGGTTTTCAGGAAACAAATTGAAGGGTTTAAAGTGAGTTGATGTTATGTTAGAATGAGTTTATTATTCGTCTACTATTGATATTGAAATGGATGCTTAATTTTATTCCTTCTCAATTGATGCGTGTGAGGTAGTGCCAAAATTATATACTGGGTTTTGCTCAGTGTTTGATTTGGTCAATCTGGACCGAACAAATTACTTCATGGTTTTGAGACTTCGGTTTTTAAATCTTATTGTTATTGCAGTCCATATTGATTTTGTACTATTGAATTGAATTGATATGGGAAAAGAAAGAAGGCCTATGGCCGAAAGGTTTTCATAAAGTAAAAGAAATGGGATCAGCTGACAAATGTGGAAGACTACGCTTCACTGGAGTTGGGAACACACCGTGTCTACGTTGATGGGTCATATATGATTAACGATTGTAAAGGTGCAGCAGCTTTGGAGATTTGGAATTGGAAAGGGGAGAAAATCGAAGAGAATGGAACTGTTTTTGCATCCATCTCCGCTGCACAGTCGGAAGCCCTGGGAATGTTGTATGCTATGCAAGAAGCTCTTAATTTAGACGTGCAGTAAAAGCTCTGCTACCTAGATTTATTTTCTCTACTTCAAGTCTACTAACATTTAACTATTTCACAATTCATAAAGCTACTTTTAAGATTAACAATATTTTTGCTAATATCTCATATCTCTTATCTCTACTTCGCTTATTGTTGCCAATCATTATCGTACTTGACATACACGAAAAGGGGGCAAAAACAGAGAGAGTTTGGTGTTGAGCGTGTACTTGGGTTAGGAACAGATGGGCGAAATAAATTAGAAGATAGAACTTGTTACTATTGCGCCACTATTTGTTGACCATATGGATTTTGTGCGTTCAACTTACTTAAACTTATTTACATCAATATGTAATATAGTTTGTCTACAAAGTACAAACACTGTGATATAACCTTCTTTACTTTTATTCAAACTAACAACAAAATATATTAATATTACACACTGAAACAAAAACAAAGCCCCCGGGCTCCGCTCCCACCACAGCCGCACATCGTGCGGCTACCCTCCGCTAGTAAAACAAACGATGAGAATATGCTTCAAGTTTTATCTTGTGTTTAATTCTTAAAGCAGTAATAGTTTTGCTAAATTTTACGTTAATTCTCCCTTTGGTTTTTTCCCTACAAATAGGAGTTGGCAAATGGAGTCATAGAAACCATTCTACAACTTAAAAGCCTTGAAATCACTCCTCACGAGTAAATAACTTTGATTTTCTTTCTCTTTTCTTTCAAATTATTTTTACAAATATTGGATCTATTTACTTGTTAATTTCTGTGCCCTCTAACACTAAAAGCGGAAGGCTTGTTTTATCTTGGGCGAACATTTCATTACACCAAAATAGTTTCTTTAGGACAGTGCAATTTTGCGACTCAAGTATTTTATTTATATAGTATTTTTGGAGCATTCTTCAACATATGTTTTCCAGGATAGCACGGATAACATGATCTTCTCTTGCACTTAGACTAAATCATCGACGAGCTGGAATATAGGACTTCGATGAACACAAAAAAAGGTAAGGAGGATTTGACAAATGGAAGAATGGAGGAAGTTGGCTCATTGTTCTTGGTCATCTTTGGAATTTTAGAAGTTAGCCTTTATCTATAGGTAGGAGAGGAAACAAAATCATGGCTGCCAATTCAATTGGATTAAATGCAATTATTTATTTTCCAATTAATAAAAATAAAAGTATAGATTAATGTAAAACAGTTTCAAGTTTGAGAAATGAATTGGTTGTTTAATATTTCAATTTAAATGTCCATAACTCTCCATTTAATTGATTGGAAAACTGAAACCGTTAGTAAAACATGGATTGATCAGATTCGCGAGTTATAGGCTGGGTTTTGATATGTTTTCTTGCAACTTCTTCTGAAACGTTTGCTTCTCTCTTGTGACATGGGATTGATATGATGCTGCTGTCCAGCCAACTAATTCATGCAAATATGATGTTGAATGCTTATGGGGAATGGACAAAAAGAAAGACGACAAGTCAATGGTGCAAATCATAGCATTTGTCATCTTTGGTTTCTCAATTTTTAATCGGGATTCGGTTTGGTCTTCAACCTTTAGTAATAATTGAGCTTTGTAATATATATTGAATTAATGTAGTACAATCAGAACATATTAATAGTGATGAATACGTTTTTTTTCTGACGGGACACTACGCATTATATGTAATTTCATTGTCATAAATCGTGAGTATATTGGAATATTTTCGATCTCGTAAAAACAAGGAAAGTCATACGAGTACATAATGAGAACGAAAACAAGGACACAATAGTAACAATCACCGCATCAAATTGCATCGTCATTCGGTTTTGCAAATTGATAAGGTTATTGAAATCATTACATTCAAAAGAAATGAAAAGTAAATAAAAAGAGAAAAAAGAAAATACACACACACTTTGAAGAAATCGAAAAAATTTGCGGGGATCGAGTTGGATCCATTGTTTATGAAATAAAACACAGCAGCAAGCAGCAAGCAGCACCAAATCACACAACACACTGTCGCCGTCAACTACTAGAAGCAGCCTGCTGCTGGTAAGAGTTTACAGGTAACAGCGTTGACGACGTTAGAAAGGTCGTCCCAAATCGAGAGCTTTCTTGGAGTTGGTCGAATAGCTTCTGCCTTCGGCACCATTCCGTAACCTGCAGAATCAGGGAGCATTAATTAGATTATATGATCTTTCATTCACACAATTAAGATGAGTTAATATGATTAAATTGATTAAAGAAAAATATGGTACCAAAAATGTTACTAAAATGAATGAAAGAAATAAAATGGCCTCATGTTCCCTTATCCCACATGGATGAAAGGAAATACTTGAACTCAACATATATACCCCATGTACTATTCCCCTCATAACCAATTGGTTTTGAGGTGGAACCACATGTAGGCTTATAGTTGGACTTTCAAGAGTTACAATCCCATATAGACTAGGAAAAAAGCGAAAGATTGATGTCGAAATCAGCAAAACAAAACCAACTTAAAAACTATAAAAATGAATAAATTAGGTCGATTTTACAGGGACAGATTAAACACTAACAACCCTGAACGAATCAACTACTAACAACAAAATGAAAAAGAGACCATTTCCGTAAATTAGTTAAAAAGGGACTACGTAATTAGCTTACTGATTGCTAAGAGGCAAAGAATAAGAATGACATTGATGAACTTGACTGAAACACAACCCTTCGCCATTTGAAGTAATGAAGCTCTTCTTAATTTGAGAGATGAGTGTTCGAATCAGATTAATTAATGAAGAGAATAAATGGCCTAAAAAAATGATCAATACTGACTAAAGCTGCTTGAGAAAATAAAAGAGGTTCCAATGTTGGCTGAATTTATAGAGACTTTTTTGTACCGCTTTTTGATTGTGATCTATAATAACTTCGTAATACACGCACAGAGCTAATAATTTAACTCGCCAACTAACGTACCGATTGATTTTGATTAGCATTGAAATAATGGGCCACACAGGAATGGCGAAGGGCCAATTAATTTATCCCTAGTAATTTAACTGTGAAAAAGAGAATCATTGGTATTCCACGAATATTAAATTCGTAAATTAATCCATGTATTGCCACCAACTCAATAATTAGGTTACTACTACAAATCTTCGCGGATCACGCACTTATCGGAAAACCATGTGAACGGAATTCCAGCTAGCCGATGATAATCTGAACTGTCATCACAATTTTTCAGATACTTTTTTTCTTTTACTTCTTTTTTTTTTTTAATCTACGACGAGCGACTTTGTAATCAAATTAGTTCTAGAGTCTAGACATATGACACCTCAACAACAAAATATTCCTAACTTCATTACTTTTATTCTATTGTAGTGTTTTTTCTCCCAATTATTTTTTTAATTCGCTGTTATAGCTCATTCGAGATAAAAATCAAAATGAATAAATTTACTTAAATCATGGTATGAGGATCTTTGATTTAATTTCATGTACATTTATTTTTTTATATAAAGAAAAGTGGAGGAAAGTTGGGTTAAAGAAGGATCAAGTTACCCTACAAGCCTCGTTAATGAAATTGTTGACCTCCCAAATCTCAAGTAAAAATTGATCAAGAGAGAAATGAATTTAACCAGTGATTAAACTATATTTTAAGACAAAGAAAAATTCAAAAATATTGAATTAAGACAACTTGAAGATAGTCAATGGTATTCCCCGAATATAAATTAGTTAATCGATCCATCATTTGCCACGCGGCCATAATTTTGTATATATCAATCAAAGTTTATCTTAAAAATTAAATAGGTTACCGCTCCAAATCTTCGCGGATCACGCACTTATCGGAAGACCATGTGAAAGAAATTACGAATTCCAGCTAGCTTGTTGATGATCTGAAATGCCATTACATTTTTTTCAAATTTTTTTTGTTATTTTTTTTAATCTATCACCAGCGGCATTGTAATCAACTAGATCTAGACATATGACACCTCAACAACAAAATATTCTTGCTTCATCACTTTGATTCAATGGCACAGTTCAATCAAGTTAAAAATCAAAATGAATAAAATTTACTTGAATGAACAAACCCTTAAACGAAATGCATAAGTATGCCAAGTTATGATTATAACAATTCTCTACACGAATTATTCTTCATTTAAAAAGTACTCAATGGATAAAAGTAGTTGTGCAGTTAGGAGGACCGATCACGAAGGAACGAGTTGTTGTTGTGTAAATGATTATCTTTGGCATACACTAGGAATAATTTTATAAGGAAGTCTTAACCAAAAAGTAAAAAAAAAAAAAAAAACCCTCCTTAGCGGGCCTAATTAATTGCAGAAAGCAAAGTGATTATCATCATCAACAAAACTGAAGTTGGATTTGAAAACAAAGTTGGGCATTTTGTGCATTATTTAAGATGATGGTGATGTGGGATTCGAAGGAAAGTTGAAGAGTGGCGGCCATAGTTTTCGGCTGCCTGCTCTTCGTTGAAGCAGCCGCAGAGGCGGTAAAAGGTCAATCTTCCTGCTGGTACAAATGTACAGCCCAATCAAATTCGTGGAAGGAGAAGTTGTGTCCAGGACTGACTACGAGCCAGCAACGCCACGACAAAAAGGATTGGTTTTTAATAAAACTAGATGAATTAGACGTGCTTTGAGCGTACACTATGTATGGTCATGTGATGTAAATTATATATAAAAAAAAGAAATAAATTTTTGATAATTAAAAATAGTAAATCACATTACTATCTAATACACTATCTACGAAATATGTTAACAAATTTATCAGTACATAAAATATAACTTTTACTTAGAGTGACAAGCCGTCGTCACACTAGTCAAATATTAATTACCTACTTAATACAGTTACTAGTAGTAAAGTAGCAAGCAGGGTCGATCCCACAGAGAAGGTTACCAAGTACCGGTTAAAATTATTTCTTATTATTATTTAGATTAACAATTTGTCAATTTAAACTAATCTAAACCTAAAACTATCAATTACAATTAATTTAAGAATTTACACAAAGAAAAGAAAACCTAGGAGAAAGGGTTCACCTAACGACAATTCAGTTTAACTCAACTTATAGATATGTGACTTTAGACTTTCATTAATCTCACAACGATTCACCTATTTAAGAAATATTCACTGTCGTGATATAATTCTTTTACTTATACTAACCCTATGACTACTGTCGTGACTATAGGGATTAACAAAAGCACATTAAGAACTTTAGAATCTCTAGCTGCAAAGGCGGTGTTCCTACTATCGTGGCTCACTACCTAAGTTTAATATTTCCATGAACTAATGTTAACCTTCAACCGTCGTTCCTTCAGTCAAACACCTTTTAAGCATGCAAGTGGTGATCAAATACTAACATGGAATAAAAGCAAGAATATTAAATATCAACTAATGAAAAAGTCACAATCATAAATTAAATTAAATTAAATAGTACGGCGGCTACATCCAAAATCCTAGATTAAATAATTTAACTACACATCATCTCAAAAATAAATAAAACAATGAAACCCAGGAGAAGTCGGCCAAAATCCGAAAGTTTGAAGTTCCTCCGATTGCGTGCTTCGGTCCGTGCTTTCCCTTCTGATGATGATGGTAGCGGAACGTGGGTTTGTGTGGTTGATGGAGTTTTTGTGCGTAAAAGGGTGACAAGGTGATTTTTGTTTTTGTGGGAGTTAGGCGTGGGTTTTCATGGTGTAGTAGTGGTGCGTGAGAAGGGGTTTTGATGCTGCGTAGGGTGCAAAGGTGATGAGGCCGTGTGATGGATAAAGGTGGAGAGGTGGTGGTTTGGTGCGTGGGTTTTGTGGGGTGTGGGTTCTCTCTCAAAAAATAATCAAAATCATCCTTTATATAATTGGCCGCAAAAATTCAGAACCAAAACCCTATGGAAGCGGCCAAAACCGACTCTTCATATGAGCTGCTGCCCAAGTTTCAGAAATTTTATTTTAATCCCTGAGGTTTTACAAAATTATAATTTACCCCAAAACTTCTTTAACTTTACACTTTAGTCCCCAATCCGTTTGCCCATGCAGGAATTCGAGTTTTTGGCTGGATTTTCTTTTTCATTAATTATTCAAATCATCAATCTTGCTCCCATAAGTTGCTCTTTTGTCTTGATTTCAATCCAAAGCTTCAACAATTCCTCCATTTGAGTACAATTCTTACAAATAAAGATAAAATCATATAAATAACATATTAATACTCAAAATGTTAGCAAAACCTCACTTAAAAGGATATTAAAAATAGGTAAATTATATGCACATCATAGAGCAAAGTGATATACTAAAATATATCACTTCTTATTTCAGCAGATCATATTTTTCTGATTGTGAAAGAAATGACAAGACCAGTGAGAAATAAAATAAAAATAAGTTTCTATTCACCAAAATAAAACAACTAAAAAAGAAGAAAAATATCAAAAACAAAAACTAAGTTTGAGACATATTGAGCTTAGACAGTAGATGAGCAAAGACAAGTGATGATAAAGGTTTTGTAATGAAGTCCGCAGGATTCTCAGCAGAAGCAATGTGCATAGGATTGACAAAACCTGCTTTGTATTGATCCCTCACGACGTGGCAATCACTTTCGATATGCTTCTCCTTTCGTGGAAGACTGGGTTGGCGGTTATGTACAATGCCGCCTGATTATCACAGTAAAAGGGGATTGGCAGTGGAATGGAAATGTGCAAATCCTGGAGAACATACGATATCCATTGCAATTTTCGAACTGTGACGGCCATGGATCGATATTCAGATTCGACAGTAGAACAGGAGATTGTACTTTGCTTCTTAGCTTCCAGGAAATCAGGCTTGTGCCAAGAAAATGCAATAACCATTTAGTGAATGACGTGTTGTTTTGCAAGCTCCCCAATCAGCATCACTGTATGCTGTAAGAGTCAAAGCAGACTACTGAGAATAGAACAGACCAAGATTAGGACAGCTTGCCAAATATTGAAGCACATGAGTGGCTGCATTCCAGTGTGATTCGTGAGGAGAGTGCACGAATTGACTCAGCTGCTGGACACTATGAGTGAGGTCTGGTCTTGTATAATTGAGATACAAAAGACTGCCTACCAAGCGCCTGTATGTCCCTGAATCAGAATACAAAGGTGTTTTTTCCTTGGACTCTTCTTCAAATCGAAGATCTGGTGGAAAAGGACTAAGAGCAGGTGTGCTGTCCAACATTCCATAATCTCTTAATAAATCCAGGGCATACTTCTTTTGACTGATAAAGATACCATCAGTGCAGCGTGCTAATTCTGTGCCAAGAAAGTATTTTGCTGGCCCTAAGTCTTTAATGGTGAAACGCTGATCAAGGAATGCCTTGGCCTTTGTTATTTCTGTTTCTGAGGATCCAGTGAGCAAGATATCGTCAACATAGACAAGGAGGATTAACATGAACCCTTCAGCTTTCAGAATGAAGAGACAGTGATCAGTATGAGTTTGTCGAAATCCATATTGTTGCAAACTAGTTGTCAATTCCTCATTCCACATTTGGGATGCCTGTTTCAGGCCATACATCGAGCGTTTTAGCTTACAAACTTGACCTGCTTCAGCTAATTCATACCCTGGGGGAGGTACCATATAGACTTCCTCATCAATGTTGTCGTGCAAAAACGAATTATTGATGTCTAATTGATGAAGACCCCAACCGTTGCAAGGTGCAATGGCAATGAGAATGTCTAACAGCCACAGTTTTTGCAACCGGTGAGAAAATTTCAGTGAAGTCCTCACCTTCAACCTGTGTTTAACCCTTGGCTACTAGTCCTGCTCTGTACCTGTCAATTGTTCCATCCGGCTTACATTTTATTTTGTATACCCATTTGTAGCCGATTGCCTTCTTTCCAGTAGGTAACTCTGTCAGCTCCCAAGTGCCATTTCTTTC